ATATTAATATTATATTTGAAAATTTTATATTATATTAATCTCAAATTAAAATTTATAATTTTTAAATTTATCAAATGTCCAGATATAATTTTTATTTTAATCTACATATATTCAAAAGCAATCCACGATTGGCCTTCTTTAATGACTTCAAGAAATTCAATGGAATCGTCACCGAAGATTTAAAATTCCTCGATGTACGCAACGAATTTACACCTTAATTAAAGATACAGAGGATACAAACGGAATAAGAAATATGTTACTCTAAATCATAGTGGCTTTTCTGTGATTCTTGTTCACTGGTTCCTCCTTCCAACGGCTAATTTCAACCCCATTTCCATTCAACAAACAAAAATCCTCATAAACCATTCAACACTTCATCTCCCCAAATAACTTCAAATCCTCTCTCTCTCTCTCTGTCCATCAGAAGTTCTTCCAAGGCAAAAAGATCATATTTTTGGGTCAGCATCGAAAGAAGCAATCTTGCTACCATCTAGAAGCCGCTGAAAGGATTTCAATCCAACAGCAACCCTTTTTGACCTCATTGGGAGAGAAAAAAGAAGATGACGGGGATTTGGTTTGCTATAAAGAAATCTCTGCAATGCAAGTCGGAAGCTGGCCAGGTTCACGAGCCGGAGAGGAAAGGCAAAGGAATCCATCTTAATTACACCACTAAGAAGAAGACCTCCCCTTGGTGTTCTAGTTGCTCGCCGTCCGTCACGATTCTCAAAGACGTCATCCATGGAAGCCATGTCCCTCCCGATCTGCCGATGACATCTAGCTGCAGCCCGAGGTCCGTTGGGAGTAGCGATTTAGTCCACCCGCTGACCCACGAGGTCCTCGCTTCCGTCTCCGGCAACGAGGTGAAAATCGCTGCCTGTCATGGCGGCGGCGGATTTGGGTCTTATAGTTGTGGGGGCGGGCCTTTGGTTGATCACGGATTGATGGGTCGTGGGAGAGCTGGCATTCAAAATTGTTCTGCTTTGGGAGAAGAGGGGATGGCTGCCTGTTCTAGGAGGAAGAAGGATAAGGTTTCTTATTCCTTTTCTGGAGGGATTGAGATAAACGAAGGTCAGGAGATTGAGGCTAATGGGAGTTATGGTGCATTGGCTTGTTATTATTGTGGAGAGGAGTTTAAGAAATGGCAGGCTCTGGAAGATCACCATGTCTGCAATCATGCAGGTTAGATTCTTCTTTTGAGCTCTGATATTTTTTTTTTTTTTTTTGGTATAGCTTCTCTGTTAGCCAAAGCTATTAAACTAAAAATATTAAACTGTTGCTGGGTACATAAAACTGCAAATTATTCTCCACAAAGATAGTGTTCTTAAAAGTTTTTGATTGATTAAACTTTAAAATTATATATCTGAGTTCAGGTTTTGCATTGATTTAGCACAGATGTGATTCAGCTCTTTACATGCGTTTCATTGGCGTAAACTTATGACAAAGTGCCTTAAACTAAAATTGAATTGATTTTGGCAGATTTGCTTCAGAGTTTTGAAATAGATTAGACTTAGGCTTCCTTTAGGATGGCTTTCTTATTGCTTTTTAAAGAAGCTTTCTAGTACAAAAATTTTAAGTTTTTAACAAAAAAAACTGCTTTAAGAAACAGTAAAAAAACCATCCCAAACTAAGAAAAGCACTAAGAAAACCATCCCAAACAAACACTTAGTTTGGAACGGCTTTCTTGCTGCTGTTTATTAAATAAGTTTTATTATAAAAAAATTAATTTTGTACTAAAAATTTACTTCAAGAAGCAGTAAAAAAGTCATCCCAAACATAATTCAGAAAGCACCTTGTTAACATCAGTTTCTCAATGTCCTTTAAGAAAAAAAAAAAACCTTAGTGTTGTTTTACCATACCCAAAATATTGTTCTTGTGATGATTTTAAAGGTTCAAATTGAT